GCTATACAGTATAACATGAAAGTCTAAGCTGATAGGTTTATCTTCTTACAAAGACTTATTGATTCACAAGACCAAATTCTCTTGAATATCAAAATGGCATATCATAGCTAATTAGTGTGGCACGCCGAGTATGAAACTCGCCCAGTTTGAAATACAAAAGCCCTCAGCATGTGAGACTTGGAAATTATCTTTATTGAGCCAAAGTACCAAATGAGTCTCTTTTCTGTCTCTAGGACCAGGAATACAACCTTTCATTCCTAAGGGTAGATTTAGAAGCGGATGGTGCTAGATTTTATTTGACTATACTTACTCGAGAGTTTTAGATAAGCTTTTATAGATTAGGTGGTGTTAGTGTTGGATTGGGTTGGATAGGGTTCATTGGCCAACGCCGACTCTATTAAAGACCTTCCTTGAGACGAGTATCGATGTGATTTGTTAAATAAATATGGTTGTGTGTGAGGATGACGTCATATTGAATTGTAGGGTAGATATGTAAAACTAAATTAGTCGAATCAGATTGACTCTATTAAAGTTGCAAGGCGTAATTAGCTTATCAGTAATCAGGTTGATCTTTGGGTTGGGTTAGTAGTGGTCGTATTGGTTTGGTATTGGGTTGGTATTGAATAGACATACTTAGAAAGTAAGTCTTTTTGATATTCTACTAATTTAGAGAATTTGCTTGGCTAAGACTAGAATATTTTTGATATTGATATACTATAGTCTATAAATAAAAACATGAGATAGCAAATTGTAAAATGAACAAAAGGTTAAATGAATACTCTTTGAATGTTTATCAAGTAGTTTGCTTGGTTATTGGATTGTGTTGTGTCTGGTGTAGTGCTGATGAGGATTCAGATAAGATGGGGTTGTTTGATATATCTAAAAGGCTCATGTTAGATATAGATAGTCAAGTAGAATCGGTTTATGATGAGATAACCAATGCAATAAACAAGCTGGGAATCTTAAACGAGAATCAAACAAAGCAAACAGATCTAATAAAGCAGGGCCAACAGAACCTCAAGGAAGAAAAGCATGAGGCTTCTGAGAACATGAACTCAACCCAAAGCAATTGCAGCTTCTCTGACAAATCAAAGAATCTAGTCGAACAGGAGAAGATTGATTCGATATCTCAACTAGTCAGAAAAGAAGTAGTACAGAAAAGTATTGATGTAATTATCCTGCAACTACATGAATGGTTATATGAATGTAAGGAGATCCGGATACAAAAGGAATCGCGAATAACGAACATAGATAAGCCAGAAAATATAGTAAAACGACTAAACCAAATTGAGAGTGACTTAAAGGGCCTACAAGAACGATTCCTCGAATTAAAAAGAAGCGGATTTGAAAGTGGTTGTCTAATCACAAAAGGCGCCCAGTACCATCTTATTGGATTAAAAGTCCGATTCGTTACGATCATGGTAACAGAACTAATGAAAATAGTGCCTAAGATTGATATATCAGAATGGATTCATCTAACAAAAGTTATGGAATCAAAGATAGATCAATTCTTGATAAATGATGAACCCGAAAGCCCCGACAACATATCTATGATAATTGAAGAAGCGCTAGTTTGGATTGATGGTAGGTCTAAAAACATGGAAGTCAAAAGTGAAAGTGAAAGTGAACAGGAGCCCACTGGTTCAGAACCATCCAATTCAAGAACTCAATTAAGCAATCCCCAAACTAACGAATCTGGCATGGACGACAAACTTCCCTCAACTAGCAAATCTGCTGATCAAGATTCTACGTTATCTTTTAATAGATATGAACTTAAACTATCCGAGTTGGATCAAAAGGATTGTACACCTAAGTTAGACTCAGAGCAAGAAAAGCTTCTCCAGAAGTTTATAAGTAGCGATAACCAGTACTTATTAGAAGATGAAGCCCCCCCTGTTTGGAGAGTGTTTAATATCAACGAAGATAATCAATCCAGAAAGTATGGACTATCTAGCACTTCGTTGCCAGCTAAACATACGCTTTCCCTGAACCTTGATTGGGAAGAAAGTGAACTGATGGAGTTACTAGATGTCTTAAAGAAGTTCAGTAAAATCATACTCAAAGAGAAATATATCAACATATCGAATCCTCGCGGCCCGGCTGGTTTATTAGTCCTAGCACAACTCTTAACGCTGTTCGAAAGCTCAGAGTTGAATGCTATGAAGAAACCTCTTGAGATTCTTGTCATTTTGACGGATATAACTTGCCCTTCTTTGGAGTCATCATTCACTGGTGCCATGAAACGAGAGCAGTTCCGAAACCAAATCGAGGAGATCGAAGAGTCGCGATACATTATCAGCATGGATATTTATGGGCTCACATCAAATGTGCAGGAGTTCATTTGGCCACTAGCAACCCATTTTCCAACCGAATTTATAGGTCTATACCGTTCCCAACTGGACAAGATAGACTTTCTTAACGATGTCAACTGGATAGACCAATTCGCCCTCAAATTCGAATTAGACTACGAAAAGGACCTTATTGTTAGTTTAGGAGCCAGGACCGCGAAAGGAAAAGATCTCCCGTTTTGTGAATGGCTAGTTATTAATACTAACCGTCCAAACCAAGGCCAACCGTCTAGCAGTCGCCTAAAGGTTTATGTTATAGGCCTTACTGAATACCTTCAACCCAATTCTTTTGATAAGGATGGCAAGCTCTTAAACACTTCATTAGAGGTGCCCGATGACATTTTAGTATTTCCATGGCCATGAGTTGGATATGGTTCATTGGCCAACACCGACTCTATTAAAGACATTTCTTGAGACGAGTATCGATGTGATTTGTTAAATAAATATGGTTGTGTGAGAAGATGACGTCATATTGAATTGTAGCGTAGATATGTAAAACTAAATTAGTCGAATCAGATTGACTCTATTAAAGTTGCGAGGCGTAATTAGCTGGCAAAACATCAGGTGGATCTTATGGGAGCTAAGTAGTGGTCGTAGGAGGGCATTGGGTTGGTATGGGTTATGATAACAATACTAAGAATAGACGGCAATCTGGTACTAGCTTTTACTTGCCGGAGCCAGGAACTATACTACAGATGCTGGCACATACACTTGAGTAAAGAGGTGTACGTGTGGTTAGTATTGATTATTGCTAGGCACTGATCAAGATGAATTACTGCTAAACATCGATCTGAACAACATATTGCTAAGTATTGGGTTAGTATTGGGTAGTGCAAATCAAGGCCTCTTGTCAACGAGTATACTAGATCTGTTTATATCTATAGAATATGATAAGAGATAAGAATTGGACAATAAAAGGAGATTTTGTTACTTTAAAGCACTTTCAGATAAGAAAGGAAGGGAGCGAAAGACCTGAAAGTATCTATCTCTCTTTTGGGTTGATAGTCACTTTCAAAACATTCGCAAACTAGTGCGAACTCGAGTTAGTATAGTATGTCCGTGTATATTTTAAACTAGTAGTTGTTAGATTTTCAAATAAAGCATCCTTATTGTATTCTGTCTCGCCAGCCTCGGAATCCGCAATTTCGGGCCAGAAAGTGACGAGCTTCGCTTTCTGCAAATAGTTTTGAAATTTCAAGTTCGGCGAGTTACAAGATTGGCGTGCAACATTATCTTCATACTTTGGTATGAACCAATGCGTGGCATTTATGTCATACAACACATATCTTGCCAGTAACCAGGTTGATCATTGTGGACAATAGGTAGTGGTCGTATTGCGGCACTATACTTATCTAATATCCTCGTTGCTTAGCCACACTATATTCAACTAGTCGATCATCCCTTGTTTATAAGAACTTAACTCTCCCAGCATAATTGGCCTAAAAGATATATTCAAAGAAAACCCAAGATAATTTCCTTTTTGGGAAATTTAAAAATTTGTTGATGCGGTTTCCTTTTTGGGAAATTTGGTGATTATTTATGTCATTTTTTTTCAAAAACATCTTTAATCATAATGTTCCACAAAGAAGAAGACGATGTTAATATGAAAACGCCCTTACTTAGCATTAGTGACGGAAGCCATCCTTGGCCCCATCCATCTGGTGCCGATGCTTTTGATATCAGAACCAATCTAATGCAACTTGTCCCACGCAAAGCACAAGACATAATTGCTTACATTTCTATGTGTACATGGAATGGTGCGATAATTCTCTTTATCTATGCTACGTTAAGAGCCGGTGATGTGGTTATGAAGTCGGCTGCGCCACACGAGCGTTTTAATCCACACAGTGCTTGCTCTTATTTCAATTGGATGGCCTTCTGGGCTGGTGTTGTGGGAGTAATTGGACTGGTTTACCTTATTCGCCGTATTAGAAAGACTGTTTTGGCTAGAGTTGATAGTGAACACTGGCTCTTTGCTATTTGTCTTATCATGACTGCTTCCATTCTAGGTGGTGTGGCCATTCCGCTTGTTTTTTGGGGAATTGGTGCTGCAATTGCTGCCATTACCGGTGTAGCTGCTATTACTAGCATCACCTTAGCTGCTGGTGGTTTAATTATGGCTGGGTTTGCACTTGGATATATGATAATTCAAGTTACCATTTCAACTGTCAATAAGGAGAAAAGAAACCAGAACGGCTTAATTAAGAACCGAAAGAACATTGCCTGTGTTGCCATTATTGTGGTTTCTGTAATTGCTCTTCTTATTTGGGCTATCTTATTGGCTCGAGTTGTTGGTCTTAGCTTAGATATGACTAGAACAATTATACCCCCAACTGATGAACAGTGGAAAACTATTACAACTAACTACGCCCAAGCCAAGGCCGCTCGAGAAAACGAACTCCAAACCGCATACAACACTAGCAAAACTGCTGCCGAGACTAAGATCGCCGACACTAACAAACTACTTAGCGAGAAACATGACTTGCTAGCCAAAACCCAGACCGAACTATCCAATGCTGTTACAGATGAAGCCAAGGCAGCCCTTAATACGAAGATTGCCAACCTCAATGCTGAAATTACCAAGCACACTGATACTATTAACCAACAAAACGCTCTCATCAAATCCCTCGGGCCTGATTACCCCGCTACAATCAACAAGCTTTCTACTACTCTACGCAACGCTGATTCTGCCGTGGTCGATAAGACTAGCGCATGGACAGCCGCCACTGATGAGCTTAAAGCCGCTACTGACGCCACTCGGCCAGCACTTCAGAGCAAGGCTGATCAGCTGGAGAAAGCTCTTGACGAGTGCAAGAAACTTGCCGCAGAAGCCAAAGCCAATCATACTTCGGCTACCATAGCCTATGACAAGCTTGTTCATCACGATAGTCTTGCCCTGCAAAAGCGTG